AAAAATTACCTGGTAAGCACATGTTGGTGCTGTTTCTTTTCACTGCTTTGTTCAAATCCCTTTAATTTGTTGTATTTTTCTGGTTTTGAAGAATTGAGAAACTTTACTAAGAGCAGTAAAGAAAGCATTCTTGTTGCAATTTTGCAATAGAAACGCATAATACAGTGCTGCCATCCTGGTGTCCAGTACAATGCCACTTACTGCCAACCCATACAATAACAAATGTAAGATTCACACTAAAAGTCATTAAATCCTGTGCTCCTAGAGTCGCATGGCAAGATGGGAATTTCATTTTGCATTTTTATGAAATGTATGCACCTCCCTCATTTCCATGAAAATGCACAACAGTCCCATAAGAAAAAAACAATTACGATGAAGGAACTCACCAAGTAAATTTGTTATGCTGTAAGTCATGAATTTTCACCCAGCCTCCTTTCTTGTGCTTAACCCCTTACACTAAACAACGACCACTCGCCAATACCACTGCCAGGTATGGGGGTAGGCATAAGAAAATACCGAATAATATGCTGTAACTCTTCTTACACATGTGACGGGAGTAGAAAATTACCACAGCCTCTTCTGCATTACAAAACATGAACGTAAGAATGAGTGTGTTATGATCTACTGGTGACAAATGAAGCTAATATAAAGCTTTGCAAGATTTCAGCTTTATTAACATTATTTAACTTCTCAGGCCCTTAAAGGAGGCATATTTGATGAATACAGCTGGGGGGACCAAATGGTTTTGCTTATGAAAGCCTGGTATGGTAGGGAAGAGAAAAATTACAGGACAAAGCCAGTAACTGTACAGCCTGGGAAGAGCAGAAAATATGAGGCCAAGGTGGCCAGTACTTTTTAACAGCTTAGATGTTATGTGTGAGAGAGCATCAGTGATGGACATTACTGGAGAAGTTCCCAACTGCCAGTGGAAAGGGTTGGAACAGCTGAAAAGAAACTAAGATAAAAGCATCCCAATGTCAGTGAGAGCAGATGTGCACCTACATGAGAGTATGGGAACCCGGCAAAATGCTGGAATGACACATACTTACTGCCTTACCAAAACTACTGTTAATTGTCCTACTATATGCTAAAACTTTGCAGTAGACACTCCTGAGGATCCAGTAATAGCTGCACTTCAGAAAAAAATAAAAGGAGCAAATACCTGTGTGCACAAAGGGTAGATGTGGATTTTGGCCTCCAAACTGTGGCGACCAGATGTTGATAAAATAACATGATTTTTTACTCAGCACACACCGTATTTATCAAGATACAACTTTCAGAAACAAGCACTGGAACAGTTCCACTAAATACACACACTATACATTGTTCCCAGAATTAGTTAATTATATAGTTTAGTGGAAAAACCTCGTTAATGTTATGCAGTTTACAGAAAGTATCTGCATTTATCAGTGGAACAGTATCTTGCAAAAAACACTTGCCTGATCAGGTGTGTCTTCCCTTTTAGAGACGAAAGAAAGCTCTGAAATTTTGGCCACTATCAACCAATCATGCAGCAATCAAAAACGAACGTTCATAAGAATGAAGGCAGAAAAATGAGAAAGTAGCAGGAACATCATAAAAGATGGGTTAAGCAAGGGTTTTACTTTTTATTTACAGCAAATATATTACAGTAAAAAAGCTTAACATGGCTCATATTGTGGTTGTGTAAGGATGATACATATGCTTACATCAAACAGGTTTAATTTCCTTGGCACTAACAGAACCAAACACGAGTATTCAACACAAAAATAAGAAACAGAACATTTATTAGGCACACTCTACATTAACTGTACACATCTGCGGCTGGAGTTTCAATGCAATCCAAAGAATACAAACAAGCATCAGGATGGCAAGAACTTTTTCGACGAACATGTTTAACCCTCAAGACAAGGCTGTCTGGCACCATTTAAAAGTTGCTGTACTGAACACAGTGATTTTAAAGAAATGTCATAGATGATTAAGACACTGAAAATGCACTCACCATAGTGAAGAATCCCATTATTTTCCTTCTTTCTTTCATTTTTCACTCCCACAATACAAGAGTGTTAAAAGGCTGCATGGCAGACAGGCTGGATGCAACAGCTGGAGGGTTTTGCCTGTCAAGCAAAGTGACTTGCAGCAAGAGACATGCTTTATGCAACAAAACCTATGATATACAGCTTGTGTGGGTTCAAACAAGAAGATCTAAGAACAACAAATGTTGAAGCCTTATAAGCTCTCTTCATTATAATCAGAATCCTGAGAAAAGCAGGGTCCAAATTACTCCAAGTGAATTTAGGCTCACTTATATACAACAAAATTGTCCAGATACATCAACGGTAGTAAACAGAATTAATGCAGTGTTAATCTTTTTACATTTTAATGACTAGCTATAAAACCAGAAACTCGCATGTTCTAATCTGTTTACATTTCCTGAGCTTAGTTAAATCAGATAGGAATGAACATTATAAAAATCCCGGTAAGTCACCAATAAATTAAAAACGTACATAACCACTATAGCTTAAGAAGCCTTACAATGCTCAGAGTGAAGTCTGCCTATCCGATACCACGGCCTTTCCTTTAGGACTCCTGTACGGAAACCATGCCATTAACTTCACCAGCAATACTGAGATGCTATAGAATTGTAGGTCTTTTTTTTTTGCTCTCCAAGGGCCCTTCTAGCAGACTATGCGATAGCTTTTTCTAATGAAATCACATGAGAGCATTCAAAAACGGCAGTCCTCTACTTCCAGTGCAGGAAACAATGTTCTCAGAAATGCAATGTGGTACTGAAATTCAAATTTACCAGCAGCAGTTATTTGGGTGGACGCTCAGCTGCCGCACATAACATCACTACATTGGCAGCAGGTTTAGTGTCCTGTGGGGGAACAAACCAATGAAAATCTACACAAAAGACTGGAGGAAAGACCCTTAGCAATAAAGAATTCATCTTAGCAGTTTCTTTCAGAGCCAACATCATGCATTTGAGAAAAGCACTCGACCTACATGAGTCATATGCATGTTGATTTATGCATGTTTATTTCCTGCATAGAGAATAATGTGTACCTTGGAATAAAACCCAAGCTTTGAGAATATACTGAGAGTATAGGTATTTGTAATAGTGCTATTGGCAGATTAATTCAAACCCAAATGCTCAAACTCAACTGTCTCAAAAACTTGCAGAGCATGAACTTCGATAAAACAAACTACTTTTTAAAAAATTGTCTGCTTATAGCATGATTTTGAATTTACGGTGTAGATAAAAGAGAGGTAGAAAGGTTTATCTCCTCAATATCATTTTCTGTGCAGTATTTATAAAGTATCAGAAAAAAATCTACAGATTTTTGTGAAAATGCCAGCTTTCCCCGCAAGAATTATATGGCATCTCTTCTTTCCACTGAAGTGCTGCAAACTAAGTAACTGAAATCTGGTTCAGAAGAGCTCTTCTTCCCATTAGCCTCACTACATCGTTTTTGTTACCAAGTTCTGCTTTTAAGAAGTCATTGCAGAAATACTCCTATACAGGGCTCAAAAATAACTAGCAGATACAACCTACCCAACAAACTACATTTACCAGCCAAATAACATCAAGTCTGCTACTAAAAAAAGCACTCGCTCTTGCTCTAGTTACAGGATCCCTCTTATGCATGCTACTGAGAGGGACAGAAGAGGTATGGAAGGTCATATGGCCCTTCCCCTCTTTGGTGACAATCACAGGTATGAGCATCATCGTTACTCTGGCTGGCAGTAGCTAGACAGCTTCCCAGCTTTTCCTGCCACGATCCACCCTCCGCAGTGGGAGGATGGATGGTGCTTTAGTGACGAGTGCTCCTCAAAAAGGGTAGGAAGGACGAGCTGACCAGAAGAGACAGCTTAACAGAAACCACATTGGTAAGATAAATATCCATCTTTCCCTGGCGTAAGACAAGCCTGCGGCACTACAGCTTTCTTGATTGTCACTAGACATGGGAGAGAGATGAAAACACCTTGGCTCCTGCAGCTGCAGTCATCAAGACCATGATCAGTACAGTGCATATCCCAGACCCAGCAGTGCCAGGGAAAGACAGGTCAGAGGCAACAGGGTGGGATCTGGCAATAGGGGCTCCCTCCCTGACCCCCACTCCCACGGCATTGCGAGAGCTGATGTATCTGGATAAGAGGGACCTGTCTGTTGACATTTTGGGGCGCTCAGGGCTGGAGCTCCACCATTATTCACATAGCAGTGACTGTTCAAGGGTGGGATTTGAGCCATGAAAGTCAGACTGCTGCATGGTGACCTTTAATTTACCCATAGAAAGTTAAATAAATTACATTAAATTAAATTCAGCCAAAGCAGATGCTAGCTTATTTATCAAAAAGCTCAGCTTTCTCTTTCTTTCCACTGGTTTTAGAGACAGGCAGCTCTCGGGAGCAGACCTTCACTCTAACTCAGTCGGACAAGAGCAGCTCCGTAGAGATGGCCAGAGTGACTCTCCAGCAGCAATTCCAGCCGCAGCAAGACCTGGCTGTCCCTAGGGACGCCCAGCAAAGGCACGTGAGCACAGCATCGTCACCTGCTTGCTCTCTACACTTCTTGCCTCACCCAGGACTTCTCCCTCCTTCCACATAAACCGCATCGGACTTGCAGTGGAAGACGATTCTTTGCTGCCAACATTGCCTTCTATTGTCGTATCTTTTAAGAAATCTATGAATTGATTAATAAAAAGAAGTATTTACTTCATTTCAGAGAAACAGATTCTGCCCTGCAAATACATAACTTGTCATTAATTTTTGATAGGCTTGGGTAAGGAAGCTTGTTTACAGTAACAGGGTCATGTTTACAATATAGGCTGGAAATCTTTTCTTTCTTTTGGTTGTAGCATTATGAGACAACTAATGCTAGTGTACTCAAATAATCAAGAGGCACGCTTCTCGTTTTTACCTGTCCTATCTGTCCTTCTGTCTGCTCCCTTTCAATAGCATGCCTAAAAGCAGAGTCACATAAATAAGAGATGTGTTGCTTTCAGCCACACATGCTTTATACACAGTCTATTTTGCCTCTTTTCTTTTGTTCTCTAGAAACTACTCCCATTAATTTCATCCTCAAACCATGATCCACCAAAATTAAAAAAAATTCAAGTACAAACCCAAACTTTATTGCTGGGTTATGGGTCAATATAAACTGACCAGAGTCAACGCCAACCTAAAATTCGCTTTACAAAAGTAAGGACTGTTCGATTACATTTGCTGACCACAGACAGCTTCTTTCACTACTCATACAGTTTGAAGACTGAAGATTTGCTGGGAACAAGACACAGTCCATGTCCTTTGGAAGTAAATGGAACTAATAGCCATCATCATCATCCATATCACAGCCATAATCTGAAACACAAAGACAAAGGCATATAAAAATGCAAATATTTGAGGCAGATGGAAGATACAACAAAAGTACTGCTACTTTCAGGTTGTTTTCCTGCTGTGTAACTAGATGGTAAGTTTTGCCTTAAGGAAGCATTTAAAAAAAATCATATATTTTCTTAGGGCTAAATAAAAAGTTCTTGCACATACTTTCCTCAATGAAGTAAAATTATTTACACACACAGGCATGTGTGTGTAAATATCTCTTCTCACTTGTCACTGGACCCTCATTTAGGATTACTTGGCACATAGATATGTGAAATACTTGGTTTAATTTAGAGGTTTAGGTGATCAAGCCTGATTGTCACAAGTAATTTGGAACATGGTGGCTGATAGGCAGCAGCATACATCTACAAGTAGGCACTGTTCTCACTAGGCATAGCCACCAAGAAAAAAGCTGGCTTGTTTATATTATTCATGGATTTATAAGCTGAAACTGCAAGGGTTCAGAGATAGCTCAGAGTTCCCATCAACATCAAAGGAGTCGTGCAACAAATCCTGACCAACGCATCTGACTCAGATCTCCCGTATCTACTTACTCTTAGAGGAACAACTTAAAATTTTGCCCAGATTTTTTTATCCAGTTTTGTTTTCTTAAACAATGCTGAGTGCAAAGACTGTGCGATATGTGTGTCAGAAGGCATGTCTGTGTGTTCCTAATGCACCAATTTCTCTTCTGTGTTCTTCTGAATGCAGTGAAACATATTTTCTCCTGCAAAGTCAAACCTAAGGATAACTATTACATATGACCATTCAGTAAAGTTAACCTTTATATTCCAAATTCAATACAGTGAATTTCACATTTCATCCAAAGAGTCAAGCAAATGCTCGGAAGCAGAATTAAGTGTAATCTATAATAATTTGTGTAGAATGGGTGAAGTTCACCATCTGTAATTCCTGCAGTTATTCCAGGCAAACAGGTCTAAAACCCATGAAGAAAGCACTTAGAAAAGAGTTATTTGTTCTGCTGAGCAGCTCTGCACACCTGCATTTGAATTCTGGGAATACTCCTTTCCTTTTTATTTTTTTTTTAAACTCTGATTTTTCAGCTGCTGTCCAGACCAGACAGGGAGTAGCGGAATGTTCTCAGAATGGTTTAAAAATAGTAACATTTACAAAGAAAAAAAGCTCAGTGACCTTTCTTCTATTTTTGTGGGGGGGATTATTAATAAACATAGAACCACCTTCCCCCACATGGGTGCCTCTTCTTGGGAACATTATTCTAATAATAAATGCAGGCAACAAACTGTTTTTCCTACAGTTCAGCAATTATTTTCCAGTGGAGAAATCAATTTAAAAGCAACGCACGCTTTTGTGAAATGTATACATTTTGTCCATGAAAGCTAAATTAATAGTACTGGGAAGATTTTTGCAGTAAATAACATTTCAGTAGGAAACTTATTCCCGTCTTGCTTTTTCACAACCCATAATTAGCAGCTCTCATTTTAAAAATATTTTTGTGTATTTTCAAAGCTTAACTTCTAAGGGGAAGTTTTTAATAAAGGATAAACGTGGATGTGTCCAGCTAGAAAAAAATGCAGTGGAGAGGATACTGCCTTTTCCTGCCAGCAAAGAAACCTAATTAAATGAGTGGCTTTGCTGGGTAACCCAAATAAATTAGCACACATCTGTGTACCATACAGCATGCCGTATGCTATCAATGCAATTTCTGTACTTGGTGAAGAACTCTTTCCTCCTAACACTTTCCCCAGAAACAGAGTGTGACGATTCATAGAATCACAGAATCATAGAATCATTAAGGTTGGAAAAGACCTCTAAGATCATCAAGTCCAACCGTCAACCCAACACCACCATGCCCACTAAACCATGTCCCTAAGCGCCTCATCTACACGTCTTTTAAATACTTCCAGGGATGGTGACTCTACCACTTCCCTGGGCAGCCTGTTCCAAGGCCTGACCACTCTTTCAGTAAAGAAGTTTTTCCTAATGTCCAGTCTAAACCTCCCTTGGCACAACTTGAGGCCATTTCCTCTCGTCCTATCGCTTGTTACTTGGGAGAAGAGACCAACCCCCACCTCGCTACAACCTCCTTTCAGGTAGTTGTAGAGCGCGATGAGGTCTCCTGATTCCTTTTGTTCTGAGCTGGACAGCCACGTCCCCAGGGCTCATGGACAACCTGGACGTCGCTGCAGCCCCACTGAGGAGGAGGCAGGCAGGAGCTTGAGCCCCGAGCACTGCTAATGGAGGGGTTACTGACCCTGTAATTCCTCAGATCCACATTAATAAACCTAATTCTGAGGAAGGCATAACATCAGTTTGTTCTTGAGAAGCCCTCTTAGCCTAAAGCTCAAGATGCAAAGTTTTCTCAGGAGGAGCCTCTGAGAAGGTCAGGTTTCGGACAAGGGTGACTCCAGGCTTTCCCACAGGAATGGGCAATGCCAGAAAGGCGGCAGGAGCTCTGCACGGGACAAGCTGCCGGAGGGCAGGGACAACAGGGGAACCCTGCCTGTCCTCAGCCCTGCAACAACGAACCCCACAGCACCAGTAGATAGTAATTGAGACAGCGTCCCAGCTTACCGTTTCCTCCCATTAACTGCAAAGCGCTCATGCAGTGATCATCATCTTCTTCTATTTCTTCCTCTTCCACCTCTTCGTCAGGGTTATAAGCTACTGGGCCACTCTCCACTAGCACAGCTGCTGGTTTTTCTAAGTCAGGGGCTTCTGCTTGTGCATTTGGAAAGGTTACCTGCAAAAAAGAAGAGAAGACAGTACAGCAGCCCTTCCTTTTGTTCAATATTTGTACAAAACTTTAGCAGCTTCCAAATGATAGGGACAGGAGAGCTGGAAGCCCATGTCCTGTGCTGGAGGCTTAGCTGTTCTAGGGGACATGCAAGTTGATCAAAGAAATGTTGCTCGAATGAAAGTCAGGCACAAACATCCAGTTTTCACATAATTCATAGCCAGGTAACTGAAATATCCAGAGATGGTAACAGCAGAACAAGGATCCTCTTGCAAGCACAAGGTAAGGAGAAATTTGGGAGTGCAGGCTCCTCAGTAGAGCTCTGCAGGAAAACTTACCACCTTTTCCTCATTGTGCTCGACTCACATCAGGCCTATTACACAATAACAACGTTATTGACACTTTAATGATAGCAAAAATGTACCCTTCAAATCAGAAAAAACCCAACATGTATTAGTTTTGACAGCTCCGGTTGGATTTATTTGGAGGCACAATGAGCTGTGGAACAAATAGCACTCTTTAGACAGCACTTAATGTGATGGCAGAGCACTAGGTTGACAACACACGCCAGCACCTGTAGCATTACCTATGAAATTCATCAGAATAATGATCTCCAAACACTAACTTGGGAATTGATCACTGACGGGACCCATTCTGTACGTGCACCTCCCCAGCTGCTCCAAGGTGAGGCAGGACACAGCAGGGAGGGAGACAAAGGGCAACACCACAAGGAGACAGAGGTGAATTTGGAGAAGGTAATATTGTCTCCGGTTCACTAATGACAGATCTGGGAATGGGGCAGGAACCAGCAATGTGGTCTGCCCCAGCACAGCCCAGGCTCTGGTGTCTCTGGAGCTCTCACTTCCACGGTGCGCTCGGTCTAGGGCTTCACCTCCCTCTCTCATCCAGGGAAGAAACATCACAGGAGCTTTATCTCCACCAGCTTTGTAAGAGGGCACTTTTCACCTCCGTTCTGTACTTGGACTATTTGGGGTTTGTAAACTAGAGCCTGTGGCCCAGAAAGACATCCCATTAGTGGCAACTTGAAGAACATTAGGGATTAACCATTAACGCTGCTTTGTCATGTGAGCAATTTTGGGAAGGGAGTACTTAACAGTACCTGTCACTAGTCAGCAGTTATCAGCACTGAGAGTCATCTCTCCTGCTAGGAAAGATGGAAAAGACTGGGACCACTTCCTTGGGAAGGACAGTGGTGAGGTGCTTCTAACAATGAATGGTCCAAAGGAGACCAGGGAACCCCAACTCCTCTGGTCCCTCTGCAAGAAAAGTCCTACAGTGCTTTTAAATTACAGTACACAACTACGTACTGCATCTTCTCCAATTCCATTGGCAGTAAGTTCTGACTCGGCGTTGTAATTTATTTTTATTTATTTATTTATAAATGTATTTACTTGGGATGCAGTAACTCCCAGAATCCCTGTAACTCCAGGCACTTTAGAGATACACCATAAGAGAAAATCCCTGTACCAGAAAGTTGATTATTCAAACATCAAAGCTGTTCCTGAACTTGTCATATAGCATGACAGTCAACCTAAAGAATCTGCCTGAGTTTTTCAAAGTCACCTAAGGGTTTGCTCCAATAGCTCATTAATAGGGCAAAAGACACCCATTAATTTTAACGGAAAATCAAGTATTTAGATATTCGGATCACTCAAAGACAGGTTTTAATGATTTTTTAATGCTCAAATTAACCATATTATTTAGAGGAACTTCCCTCCAGTTTATTTTGTATTTCCTACCACTGCTTTTGCCTCTAGAGTAATCAAATTGAGTCCATCTAGGTTTTCAGTATAAGCAGAAATAGACAGAACAGTTTGAGATGAATCAGCATCATAACATATATCAATTTATATGCTTGAAAGTATCCATCTGCTCTGAAAAAGTGGGTGAATATAAAGGAGCTACAACTGAGTCATTATTTTTTAAAATTGCACCATTCTAATTAAAATGTGACCTTCTTCTAATTATCATGTCCACTTCCAGACTGCTATACTTCTAAAAATGTGCAGAGTTTTCTAATGAGCATAGCCTAGAAGTGAAAATGTATTTCCCCAGGCAGGATATCAAACTGTTTCTGAAAATCAATAGGTTTTAGTCATTTTAAAAATAAGGCAGTCAAACAACGCCTTTAAATAGAACTTCCTGAATTCACCTCCAGACATCCTGGACTTGAGTTTGGCACATATCCATATGTACGGATGGGCAAATGTCAAAGCATGTTAAACTACCCAAGGTAACCGGTTCATGTTCAAAAGGGTGTCAGTGTCACACCTTCATGGGAAAAAGAAGGATGGTATATAAGGAACAGAATTTTTTGATACGTAGTAAACAGTTATTTTATCATACGCAAAATGCGTATGTCTACTCTGTACAGAGTGAAAATAGTGAAAGAAAGCAGTTATCGCTGTGACTCTGATAATAATCACGATCGCTTCGGCAGAAAATGCAGGTGCACAAAGCCACCCAAGGAGGGTTTCTGGCAGTGGCACTAACTTTTCTATGGCACTATTGTATTTTCAGACTTAACAAACAAACAAACCAAAGAGTAAGCCATGCCATATAGGGTAAGCTGTCACTTCGTGTTTCCTCACCGGTCTCCCGCAGAAGCCCAGCCCTTCCCCTGGGTCAGCGCTGGCTGCACACAAGTGGCGTTTTGCATCGTTCCCCTTCTCCGCTGGGACGGTCCAAGTGCTGAGAAACAGCCACGAGCTCTGCCCTCTCCCACCCCTCCTACCCACTTGTTTGATATCTACCTTTTTAGATGCTTACAGGGAATTTTCTCTTTTTTGCTGTCTAACCAGGCATTATGAGGCTGTGCTAATGTTACTGATGAATAAGTAAGGGCAAATCTTGGTTAGAAAACAGGCAACCTCAGCTTTGCAGTGTTTGCAGTAACCAGCTCCTGGTCTGATCAGAGAGACAAGACTCTCATTTCTTTTGCCCATATCTACCACATAACCAGAGCCAGGCTGAGAAAGGCTTGTGGAAACTTCCAAACTCAAACTGTTGCACTAGGAGAAGTGCTGGACTTTACATACCTCTTCAGTGGCAGCCTTTTTAGCAAGCTGTGTTGAAATCAAGGGTCTTAATCTGCAAAGAAGGAAAGAAGAAATGGTGAACATCAGAAAAGTTACACCATGCACAAGAGTTTGACACAGAGTATTCACTCTCCAAACAGTGAAAGCACTTTGCTAGTGTTATGTTGTGCAATTACTCTTGTAAAGATGTAAGATAAAGAGCAGAGAGCCACAGACTCCACAATAATTAATACACACATTCTCTTGTAAGCGTCTGCCCCCGTTCAGGATAATAAGAAAAGATGCCTGTCAACAAGCACTGTAGCAAAACCTCATCTCAATCTGCAGCCCCAGCTCAGCCCGAAGGTCTTTGAAATAGGTGGTTTTGTCACATATTACGAAAGTCAAAAGAGTCAACTGATTTTTTGGAATAATGCAGACATGGCAAAAACGAGCCACACTCTGAATTACCCAGGACCGCTCTGCAACTACTTCCCTGTATTTGATGATACACTGAGGATACCAGTAAGATTATACATGCAGGATATCATATCACAGGCGAAATTCTAACCTCCAGCTACAGAAATCATCATCAAAAACAAGGGGACCCTGCATACCTTGAATGAAAAATGACAGAAATTGAACATAAATGCTTTTAAAAATTCTGCATCAGATACAAAAAAGACCTGCATATTTGGGGAGAAAAGATGGATCCGTATTACTCTACAGCTAACTGTTAAATATTGTTCTTTCTGAAAAACATTTCATAGCCTGTTCTCTCCTTATTGCCGTGAAGGCTGTTCTCAATCCATCATTTAGTCCTGCTTTCTGGTCTCTCCTCGTCATCTAGATGTATCTAGTCATGAAGAGGATGACTTGCTTTCTACTGAAACACTGCTCAGACAGCTCCTCAAGTACGTCTTTTAACTAAGTCTAGGCAAACAACTTAATGAATACCAATTTATGCCTCCAGAGATACAGTCTTTTATGATAAGCAGTATCTTTCTTCTCATTTTTCTGTTAGTCATTCCTCCCTATTAACACACTGATACCGGTTGTTTTCCTACTTATTTATTTATTTCAAATAATCAGCAGGAGGAAACAAAACCCCAGAGAATGAGCAAGGGAGACTCAGATCATTATCTCTGATGGAGAAGACAATATTAAAGTACAAGATATTGGCTTAGCTCCAAAAAGGTTCAGAAACTGGTCATCTCTGAAACGCTTTGCAAGACCCGAAAGGCATTTTGGCAACCATAGTAGTCCAAGGTGCCTCCTTACAGTAGATCTAAACAAAAAGAAGCCACGGGAATGCTTCAGGAGCTGTACCAGTGAAGGATCCAGAACACATTATTCTGCTACAGACACTTCTTGTCGTATTTCATAATTATCAAAAATTTCAAGAAAGAGATACTCTTGATCCACATAAACTTTCTACTACTTACAAATCCTGGTAGACTTCTGGGCTTAGAGAGAATGTATCTGAAGGCATGGATGCGCTCCTCCCTATGTGCCTGTCCTCTTTCTTTTATCTAACCTGAATTGTAGAGTTTTCACAGAATCATAGAATCATAGAATAGTTTCAGTGGGAAGGGACCTTTAAAGGTCATCTAGTCCAACCCCCCTGCCATGGACAGGGACATCTTCAACTAGATCAGGTTGCTCAGAGCCCCGTCCAACCTGACCTGGAATGTTTCCAGGGATGGGGCATCTACCACCTCTCTGGGCAACCTGTGCCAGTGTTTCACCACCCTCATCGTAAAAAATTTCTTCCTTATTTCCTAAAATTTCAGACTACCTACCTACTGTCAATCACTGTTTTCCAAAAGTCACCCTGTTTAGATGCTTACAAACACATGAATGCAGCAATGTCAAAAGGTTATGTAGCTGAAGGATGCTAATTACCGAACAGGTTGTATTTCATTGACATGACTGAAAAAAACAACAAGGATAAGAAATGAAGGACCTTTATTTTAAACCAGTAGTAGTGATTATTGCAATTAACATTGTACCAAAGATAGCACCTATTTCCTCCTGCTACCAAAAGACATCAGACCTCCCTGGAGCACCCTGAAATCTTTCCTCCCCCCAATTAAAATCAAGCTGTTGAATAAGACTCACAAGGTAATCAGAAACTGCTGACATTTCTTTTAGAGCAAATTATACATGTGCTCACACAGGGAAGAAAACAATCACAGCTATAGGAAGCAAAGAGTAAACATTCCAGTTTCATTTTAATTAAAATGGTCCCCTACTGAAAATAAAAATATTCACGCTTATGAAAAGCCTATTTGCAAACTTTAGTGCTAAATCCAAGAGCCCTTCTATACCATTTTTCAGCAGCAAGCCGAAATGAAGGCCGTATTTCTGTTCCATGATAATTGCTCACAGAGTATACATCTTCACTTCATTACTAGAAATGTAGCGCTGCCATTCAATTTGGGCAATACAGTTTCTCTCTCAGCATAATATCTAATGCATCCAAAAGCAGCGGGTCGGATTCTGCTCCTGCTCTGGCTGTCGGGTACCTGCTGCAGTGCAGATCTGAAGGGGTCACTCGCCGTGTGGGCTGAACAGTCCAGCTCGCTGTGCCTCGGTACTATGTGCTACCTACAAACACCAGCCGTGAAAATTGAAAAAAGGTAAAACCGTCGCAAAGAGAGACAAAAACTTATTTCCCCCCTGAAATAATGTCTTTGATTAAAATTCTATAACAAGAAAAAAAGTTATAAAAGTTATAAATATATAAAAAGAAAAGTTAATTTCTCTTCCTTGGCTCTCCTTATGCCTATGGAAAACCCTACTATTACTGCACAAAACCATTTAGGCAGGTTTTATAGTGGGGTTTTGTTTTGTTTCTTAAATGCCCCGATGTCCTGACCTCCTTAAACCAGAGCAGCTGCTGCCACACCAGCCATATGGAGCAATGAATTACTGCTGCCATGGCTACAGATACGGGCTCCTTCTGCTGTCTGGCTGCACCACAGAGGGCGGAAAAAAGTGTCTTCGCGGAAGAGCACAACTGCTTTTGAGGCTGCGATAGGTTTCAGTATTAATGATCAAAACAGCAGCTTGAAAAAACAAGTAACTGAAGTATCTTATCCAACTTTCAGTGTGCATGACTCAACCTCATCTGTAAAAGGCTACCAAGGTACACACATGCACATATACACGATACATGAAAAATCCTGTCCATCAAAGTCCAGATTGAATTTAAGGTTGCCAAGTTCCATAAATAACAGTAATATCCTGCATTAAGATACAATTCCATATATGCTAAAGCAACAATGGCCTCTATTTAAAATGTAATGTTGCGACTGGAAAGTAATGGGGCTCCTGGTCTTCCCAAGTGTTTCCGTAGTTGTTCACTAGTTATGATGGTTGCTAGTTGGGGGCACTTTCGTTATGAACTTTGCAAATTAATACAGTACCTTGTGAGAGGGAGTAACAAAACAAGCAACTTTCTGAACAGCAATGTGATCCGTAAAAGGGGAAAAAAAAGATTTCACACAGCCCCAAGTGTTATATCCACATTTCAAACTACTTCAAAAATTATGCAGATCTACAAATGCTCATGTCAGCCAACACACATAGCCCTGGAAACAGATAATCTTGACACGTTCACGACAAAAACTAATGGCACGGTACATGGCATCAGAGGCTGCTCCCTGCCGAATCCGCTCCGCTCTCAGCTGAGATGTGCACGACAACGTCGAGGTTTGTCCTCCAGCTTAACAATTTAAAAGATGATTCAGTATAATAGCTCCTGACAGGGCTGGAGATCACACAGACTGAACTTTCAAAGTGAGCAAATTCTCTGAAAAACAAGCTGGCTGTGACAAACAACTGTTTTTATTTTGCTTATTATTTAATAACAAAAGATTACACAGAACAGTACATAAAATAGAAAGAGCACTGTGGGGCAATAAAACCACCTAACTTGCATCAGGCTGTTTGCCCACCAAAAAGGTTTACGATACCATAACAATCTCCTCAGTGCAATCCTGCAAGTAATTTGGAAACTCACCCAAAGTTCTGTTTCTTACTGAATTTTAATTTAATCCATCCAAGTAGGGAACATCTTATTGCTGCTTACCACCCATACTAATTTTATATGTGGACAATTCCAGAATACGCAATGAAAAGCAGAGATACAACGGAGCCCGCAGCCACAAGCCTGCAGTGTAATTATGCAGGTCATCTAAGACAAATGCCCATAGAACCTATCTATCCGTACCACAGGCCTTTCATACGTATGCCACTTCAGTGACAGAAAAAGCTATTGAGAAACAATTCGGCAAGAGACAGGTCAGGTTCTCCACCCTGGCCGAGATCCTCCTCCCACCTGAGGCCAGATGGTTTTGCCTCAGGAGGTCAGTTTACCAGACATCTGCATGAGAAGGAAACTAATATAAATGTTTACCCCAGCTAAAAGTGCCCTTTAATTAGGTACCGTCAATGTTATCCTTACCGGAAAGCTGGGAATTACCTCTCCGCAAGGATTTAATGCTCTTGTTGGAAACACAATAACGTCAGGAGATACTGACCCACTGTTCTGCCATTAGGTCAGGACAAAGGGGTGACCCTCCTGGTTCTCCAGAGGGCGAAACAGAGACTGCAGTCACGACCGTGACCCTGGAGCTCTTTGGGGTTTGCACATCCAGCTGCGGATCCCACCGTCTTCTACATCTGCTTCTGGCTGAGAGCGGAGTGCTCACAAGAGCCGTTCCCTCCCCTAGAGAGGAAACCAAGGCATGTGGCCAAGGCCATGGCTGGTTGTGACACCGATGAATGACTGCCTGATGCCTTGAGGATGGGGCTGAGGTGTAAGGGTGCACCATGGCACACCACAAGACATGGTCAACATCACGCTCTGCAGAAAGACAAAGCACCTCCGATGCTCACACCTTGAAACCACGTGTGCCTGAATGTGAGGCAGGCAGGTTTTTTTGGCTTTCTGAAGGCCAGGCTGACCAGCCCTTCGCCCAGCCCAGCTCACCATCAGTGTGAAAGCCCCAGGGAGTTCCCCTGAATCACTCTTCCCAGTGATAGGGCTGCAGAGGCTCCAACCAA